TCATACATACATTCATACATACATTCATACATACATTCATACATACATTCATACATACATTCATACATACATACATACATACATACATACATACATACATACATACATACGTACGTACATACATACGTACATACATACGTACATACAAACATGCATACATAATCCACAGAAACAATATATTGCTATGTGACATTATCAACTGTAGCAAAAATAATAGAATTAAAGATAATAACAATAAAACAAACATAGAATAAAATAAAAAATAAGAATAATAATTACTGTACCGGACTATCAGTTGAAATTAGATAAAAATAGAAAATAAAAGCCAGATACCGTGCAGAAAAATAAAAAATTACAAGAAAAAAACAGATCTGTTAAATTGAGTCGTACTCAGGTTTATGCAAATTAACTCAGGGGTGTGCAAATTGAGTTGAAATCAGGGGTGTGCAAATTGAGTTGAAATCAGGGGTGTGCAAATTGAGTCGAACTCAGGTTGGGTGTGCAAATTGAGTCGAACTAAGTCATTAACTTAGTGTTCTAGTACAGGGGAAAAAAGATATACAATTTCCACAGGTTATTATTTATGTAATGATTGATAGGTAGAGTTGTTTGATGTGCAAACACAAACATGGATGCTTATCGAGTTTGTTAGGAGCAGTGTTGGTTATAGAGTCTAACAGCTGCTTGCGTGGCAAAACATAGATTAAAAAATTATAATTGTTTTTTAACGTTTTGGTTTGTTGGCTTTAAAACCTTCATTTTTTGAAAACTTTGCTTGAATGCGTTCATATGCATTTGAGAATAAAACCCTGTCTGTATGTTTTATGTGGGAGGAGACTAATCCCAAAAAGAAAAAAAAAAACTAATCCTCCTAAAGCAGCCTGTTAACAGATATGAACCAGATCCATCCCTGCGGAGACAGCCTGTGCTCTGGCCTCCCAAAGTGATAATATCTGCCTGTAAAAGCATTTACGTGCATGCCCATGTGCAGGCTGTGCACGGCAGTATTTGCAAATGTTATGATAGCAAGATTAGGGCACCGGAGCTCTGAGGATTAAGGGTTTTGATCTACGCACTCTGGGAGACCAGAAATCTTTAGCRTTGTAATTATAAAGACAAGTGTCCGAGAACTCGACAGTAAATACGACTCTGAAATAAAATGCATATAAAACTTGAAGTTACATCAAAATAAACATGTTTACCAAAGAATGTAATGTTTTTWGTTWGTTWGTTWGTTTGTTTCAACTGTCTTCTCCAAATGTTACCTGTCTTGAGAGCTGAGGGTCCACTTGCCGTGACACTGTACACTTGGAGGAACTCCCCCGGCCTGCTGCCGCCAACGATGTTGAAACCAAACCCTCTGGAGCCTTTGATCAAGTGTGCGTGCACAGGGAAACCCCTGAGATCTTCAGGCTGGTCTGTGAACCCTGTTGAAGGGAAGAAATAGAAACAAAAACACAGAGAACGAAAAGAGACAGAAGGGATAAGAATGAAGCTTACCTGCCAAATAAAAACATTACCAAAGAGAAAGGAGTGAGAACAGTCCAGCGTTTTAAATACAACCAAATGGTCAGAAGTGACTYGCTTTAGGAAGAAGCAAAAAGGAGATGAATACTGCAAACCAATCACCAGATGGCTTTTAACAAAATGATCCTCAGACCAAAGCATATGGTGGAGAGATTGCATTAAAAGCAAAATGCAATAACATGTTAAAYTTGGCAACATAATCCATTAGCTTGACCAAGCTCAACACAGTCCTCTAGGTTTATTTTATTGACAGTTATCTGACAATCTGAATCAACCGCACCATGAAACGTGATTTCGTYTGTATCGTTCTGCTCAGATTCACTTCTAAACTGACACGTGTGTTGGACGCAACAGTAGGAGCGGCAATACTTTCAATCTGTCTGCGTTTAAATATGTCTTGCAATCACAGGCAGCAGAACTTACTGAAATCTATTCCACATGAAGACATCTGTGATCAAAACAAATACTGTTGCACCTTCTGCTGGTGAAAACCACGTACTACATTTTACTGAGACAAACTGGAATCACAGCAAATGAAATGTTTTTTTTTCTTTTTACGGTTTATAATATGATGGACAGGCATCAGAAACTGTATGATTGTTGTTGTTTTTCAACAGCAAATCATGAGGGCCAGTCACATGTCAAACTCATGTTGACCCTGCCAGCCTGTGCAGCAGGTCTGGCTTTGTGCCGGCAGCTCAGAGCTTTAGGCGTTAATCACTGACATGCCTCTGTTTGGCAAAAAGCTCATTCTGTCTCATTTGACTCCAACAAGCTGGTTGTGTTCTTGACTTCCACGCGTGGCAAATTCAAGAGCTGCATTTAGGCCGCYCCACAGTGAAATACGTCGTTCTAATAACTGCATGGAGAGCGAGAGACAGGAAATAAAAATAAAAAAGGAACAAAAACAAAAAGAACAAAAAGAGAGGCTCACATTCATTTTTGTAGAGGGTCTCCCTGCTTGAGCGTCGAGGACTCTGCCAGCTGGTCCTTTTAGGGCTGCGCCTTGGAGAGGGAAAATGGGAAAGCAGAAGAAAAGTCATCCTCTTCAGCAAAATGATGAAATAAAATTGACTAGTTTTTATTGCACATGTAACTGTAAAACCATGAGATGTTGGATTTTTGTGGATGAAGGTTTGTTTCAGTCTTGGTGAGACAAACTCTGCAGGGTTTTATTTTGTTGGTTAAGATTATAACAGTTAAATGACATTTCTTTCCTCAGACATGAATCACATTTTTACATCCAATGAATTGTTTTTTTTTTTTCATTCATTCTCAGTAGAATTATTGGAAAAATATTGCGGATTTCATACCATCAACTAACGGAAATCATGGAAATGTGTAGAAGTAATTATCACGTTTTAAATATAAAAAACTTTAAAGTTTCAGCTAGTAACCCTCAGCCCCATCTGTTGGCAAAACTGCAACATGGTGTTCATAACCACTGGTGTATCACATTTTTCACACCTGGAGAGAAGGGGGTCTCTGCAGTCACTAAGTAGGAGTTTCTTATTTTGTGGGAAGAGTTAGCCCAAGATACGATTGGTCAAACTGACCAGGAAGCACCTGTTTTTTTAAATATAGATATTAATTTTAGTCATAACTTGAAACAGGAAGGTGCTTGCCGCATGAAATTTGAAGTCAATAAATTATGTTTACATATTCACAATAATTTTTATTTGAGTCATTGATCTGTTTTAAACTGTACACAGACAGTCAATAAATCATATTTTACTATTACCATTACTTCCTCTTAAAGGCCCTGTGACAWGCCTATCCTTCAAATACAAAAAGTCAAAGAAAACATCTTTATACTGAAGAAAATTGGCATAACACACATGATTTTAGCCATTTTGTCACATAAATGGTCTATTTCCTTTTGAACTTGGTTCAGCCTAAATAAAACAGGAAGTGACATCAAAGGGCAACTCTTTAATAAATTAAACTCCCTGGTCTTTATATTTTTTAAACTTTAACTCTTCTTCATCTCTCTTTGATAGTGACTCGAAATAATCTAAAGAAACATCAGATTCTTCTCTACAGTCTGTGTTGTTAGCTGTTGTAACCATGTTCTGTTCACATGCACACATTCCCCTTTGACATCATTTCCTGTTACTTCATATGCAAATATCTCAACAACTGTTCATCTCAGTGGCGTGAAATTTCTAATGCAATATGTTGTCAATGTTATCTTTCCAAAAAAAAAAAAAAAAAAACCATTGATWTTTATTACAAAAATTTGATGTCACAGGCACTTTAAGTGCACCACAAGTCCATATGTATATTCACTATTACGGCAAACTCCGCCCACGGAACAACATGTACTGCAGAGACCCCTACACGCACCTGGAGGAATGAAATATTCAGTCAGTTGCAATTTGCAGTTTTGTCTCTAGAGGTCACTATATCCAACACACGTCCTTTAAATCTGATTCTAGTAGTACCTGTTCACATCAATAAATTAAATAATTGTAATTTTCTAAACCACTGAATTTAATGAGAGGGTTTGTGTTTCCCAAGTTTAGCTCACGCTCAAACTTCTTTTATACATTAAAATCAAATCAGCCAGCTTTAGGTAGCTGAAGTAAAACCCAAACAAGATCCCAGCCCAATCTAACCACAATAAATCCAAACACTGATCAAAGACAACATTTACATCTAAACTTTTTCATCTAAAGCGTACTAGTGTACAAACTAGCCAAAACCAAATATTTACAAAACATCATCTAGTGACCAACAACTTACTTGGTTTTGAAAATTTTTGAGAGAAAAAAAGACCCTAACATGAAGCCGCCCCCTTTTCCTTTCTGGCCCAGCTGATGGTCCATTGGCTCAGCCAGAGGGTCCATGGTTATCAACCCGCCTGCATGCACAGGGCACCACCGAGATCACGAGTGTGTGTAGGAGAGAGAGTAGGTTTGGATATTATGATGGGGACAAAAAAAAAAAACCTGACAGGACAAAGATATTGAGGACTTCCTATAAACATCAAGTCCACTCTGTAGTGCAAGTTAAATGTGATATTTGAAGCTTAATATTTTGTTGAGAACCAGGTTTAGAACAGGTTTATGGTAACAGTCAAGACAAAGCAGTCAATGTTGATGGCTAAAAATATAGTAAAGTCTAAATTCAAAAGTAGAAATGCAAAGTTTATTAAAATTAAAATATGTTTTTTATGTTTATTTCTGGTTGGGAAAAAAGCTCATGTGTCTCATAGAGATTCATACCTACAGTATGCTTTTGCATGATTGCTTTACATTTCTGCTGTGTGTTCAGTGTTTGTTTCAGAGGARCGTTGTGTTGTTTGGGGTTTTTGGTTCCGTACTTCAGTCATTACTTTGTTCATGCATGTGCTCAGTCATGGATTACTCCACACCTGTGATTGTTTTACTTTTTACACATTTGATGGGACTCATCGCAGAGTTACTGACTTTGTGCTAGACTGTCTTTGTACTCAGCATCTTGCTCATTGGAAATTGTGGTGTTTTTTATACCATTTTCTTTGCTTTGCACTTCCTAGCTTCACAGGACTGACTATCCATGTTTTTTGTATWAACAACTGGGTTCACTCTCTGGAGTTGAATGGTTTGAATTTCATTTCACGCAACAACGATAAATACAAAAAAATGAAGCTAGGAGATGCGTAACTTCCAAATACATCTACATATCTCTATCACTGTATCTCAGCATTTCATTGCTGCATTTATGAGACTGACTGATTTTGAAGCTGATTCTCAAAAACCTAACTGTGGAGTTCGGGTTCATTTTTGTTTCTCCCAGGTAACTCATTGAGATCATACAGGAGGTGGTTCAGAACTGCATCAGCATGTGAGCAGTGAGCCGGTGCTGCTGAATCAGCTGAATGACAACAGCATTGATGTTAAGTTTGTTTTGCTGTACACGCTGCCTCCCACTTCATATAAATTTGTCATTTCTTTGTTTTTGTAACTAAGGTCCTTACTAATAGAGGCTATAAATCAAACTGTACCCTTCTGTACTTTCAAACGTAACATCAATAGACAGCCTCATTTTTACCAGCTTTAAATATGTGTGTTATAAGTTTTGACTTAAATACATCTTTATTTTTTACTTTAATTAGTTCAGCTCTGCTGCCATTTTGAGAAACACAGTAAATATTAACACTTTTGTTTAATTCTTAGTTATTATTTTTCTCCAGTATTTGACTTCAAACAGCAGTGAATGTATTCAAGAGTCTTTGGGGAACATTATTTCTTGAAATCTACGTATCTTCATCGTTGTAAACTGCTGATGACAGACTGGAGTGATCCAACCCTTTTGTTGCTTTCTTCTCACCTGGTTTTACCTTGATTACTTTTGCATAGTTGGGGCACATTATTCATTTTTCTGTAGTTTCTTGGTGTTCCTGAATCACTATTTAAACAGTGGTGGTTTTTGTGCTTTCTTCATTTTTTTCTCTAAGCCTGCAGTAACTCAAAACTCAACTGGTGACTAAAGGCCCTGCCAAGGTTTGAGACAACTTATGACAACTAATGAAAACTTTTTCCACCACTTAAGATCTCTAAGCTGAAGATGAAATAAAAAAATCAGCTGGAAGACTTTTCGGTGACCTACAGTATACATAACTCAGTTTTCTTAAGTTGGCATAAGTTGTCTAAAATGTTTTAGTAAGACAGGGACTTAAATATGAAATAAAAAATATGGATCTATCCATCCATCCATCCATCCATCCATCCATCCATCCATCCATCCAT